CCATGTTCCTTTTCTCTTTAAAAAAAGATTTCACATTTATTTATTCTTTGAGGAGAAGGAGATAGTCGAATGGACTGGACGGATGCAATCCACCTAGGTGCCCCACGCATCCATGTTCCTTTTCATCTTCCAACTGGCAAAATAGGTCTTTAAGTCTATTTCTTTTAAGTAGAGAGAGCGAGCGCTGGCTGCAAGAGGGAAGGCAGAGAGGGACTGGGAATCCCACGAGGCCCTGGTGGCCTACACTGCAGGCTGGCCACCCAACTGCAGGGAGGATCAGCGTGACTCCTGAGCCGACCTTGAGTGCGGGCCAGCTTCAACCCACCGAGCTACCCGGAGCTTCAATAACGGCAAGCTAAAAAAATACAAAGATGCAACACCCATTGATCCGCAGCAGGAAGAGGTTAACTCCTATCACGAAGGGCGGAAAAACTAATTAGAATTTCTACCAATACAAAACTCCAGTATAAAACGGACTGGAAAATAAGTATACTGATTCTGTTTAACACAGTTTCAACAATGTAATTTCTCTCCTCTTAATTACTAAAACGAGTAAAGCAGAATCTAGAGTCGGCCTCATACACCCCTTGTCAAAAGGCAAGTAACGTAAGATTATAGATGAGAGAATAACGAAGTCATGGTCGAGGGCCATGAGGGGAAGCAGAGCTGCCGGCCTTTAAGGCAGTGACCCGTTACCATCTGCTTCGTCCTGCTGCTGCCAGCCTCTTGGTCCTGAGCCGGGCACTCGCTGCACTGTCAGTTCTGAAAGCTTAAGGCCCATAAGCGTAAACTGGCCGCGCTCACGTCCCTTTCAGCAGGTGAACTGAGGTGGTGGACTGCTAGTTCCAAACTGTCCAGCAAAGCCTGCAAGCTTGAAGTTTTAAAAAGAAGAAAAAGAAGAAAAAAAAAGAACCCAAGAAAGTCATGGCGGGTAGCTCCTCCCAATGGATTGCCATTGGCCTCCCGCCCCATTCTGACACGTCGCCCAGCCTGAGCCCCACAGTGATCTGGGCAAGGGGGGAAGGAGACGCGATGGAGGGCCGGGGCTGGGGGGGTAGGCCCTGAGGCCGCTGGGAGCTCTGCAGGACGGTGCAGGACGGAAGCCTGGGCCCGGCAGCGTCCGCAGGCTCCGGAAGCGGCCGTCGCGCCCACGTCGGGGAAGCGCCGCGCGCCTGGCTCGCCGCCGACGGAGGCCGGGAAGGGCCGCAGCGCGTCGGCACGCAGGGCGCGTGGGAACCAGGGGCCCGTGCTGCACGCTGGCACGTGCGCGCCGCGTGAGGCGCACGTTCCTGGGGCGGGGCTTCCGTGAGTCGAATCGCTTGCGGTGAGCACCGGTCCTCCCAATGATCACTCTTCCCTTCTGACTTGACCTCCCCACGGGACATCCCAGACGTTTCTGGTTCCACATTCACTTCTTCGAAAAGACGCAAGGTAATCACTGTCAGACGGTCGGCATTTAACGTGTTGTTCATTGGCTACCTGCGGACGGCAGATCAGAACCCCTCCCTGCAGGTGCCGGTAGCTTTAGTGAAAATTAAGAGCAATTAAGGAACGGAACCTCTCTCCGGCTCTTCTTCGTCGCCCGGATCTGGACACCGTGTCTTCCAACAACCGGCCCTCTCCGAGTCTCAAAACCACTGCCCTTACAGTCCAGCCTCCCACCTCGTTTCTGACTGCCCTCTCATTTCCAGACCATCCTGTCTCCTCTCCAGAATTAGTCCTTCCCCCTGAAACCACACCTGATTAGCACGATACGATCAGTAACCTCCTGTAGTTCCCTTATTAAACCCAAACACGATCTAGGACCCCAGGGTGCCATCATCGAGGTACCCAGTTCTAAGTCAAGCTTCTCATTTGCACTTCATTGAACTTCCTGCCACAGTCCAGTTCATCTACTGCGACAAACAGGGCTTTCCCATCTCTATGCCTTTCCTTACGGCTCTTTCTCCAGACCTTGCCAGGGGCCAGCTTAAGAGGCCCAGTCCTGGTCCTTGGTAAGTTATGTAACATCTGTAAACTTCAATTTTTTTCATCCCATTATGTAAGCAATTAAAGGACTCAAATATGTGAAAAGATCTTTTCTTCTAGCACCCAGTTATTATGTGATTATCCAAGTATTCTGTGCTCTGCTCCTTCTAACCCCACTCCACCCCTACCCTTCTGAGCCTCCACTATGAACTATTCACTGGAGAACCTACTATATGCTAGGTGCTGTGGAGAATATATTGGTTTTCATTTTTTTGTTACCAAATGTATTGTATAATTACATGCAGACCAATGGAGAAATGCATCTTAAATCTATTAGGAAAGGTTTGTTTTCCTTGAAGAATGGACTTTTTTTTTTTCTTTCCAAATACTAAGTAAGCAAATGCTCTATTCACTTTACTCACGTTAGTTGCCAGAATGCTCAGTTTGTATCCCTATCTGGATGACTCAAGCATGCCAAAAGTTGTCCTGATCTTGGTCTTCCAGGCTTTCTCCTTTCCCTAATGCTGATTTGTATGTGTGTTTGTTTTTCTATTTTACCATATGTTGTAAGCTATCTTGAGTCCATAATAGAGTTGTAATATAATAGACGGCTCTTGACTATTACTGAGGTTAGAAGAAATGTCTCCTAATCTAATGGATGGTGATCCCAGGCTTCCATTTCTGGTAATGGATTTACAGACCCTGCAGGGGATGAAATGAAAGGCTACAGGCCAATGTGAAGCAGTAGAATGATAACAATTAGCATTTATTGAGCGCTTACTTTGTCAGCCACTGTTTTCATCACTTTACATGAATAAACTCATTTCATTTGTTCCTTACAACAGTCCCACGAGATGGAAAGCCAAGACGCCAGCATCCCAGAGCTCTAAAGGACACTTAGTCCCAAGAGTGAATTTACATAATTCAAAGTAGGACAAAAAGGACCAAAATATTTATGAGGTCATCTCACCAGTCAAAAGACTAAAGACACTGCACTATTAAATTAAACCCTCCTGGTTTAGATTAAAACGAGAGTGCAGACCTGCATTGTACCATGTGTTAGATGGGGCTTCTAAGAGATTTAAGACAATTTCTAACTTCAAAAGTTTATGGAAAAAAAGCACCTGAAAGGATCTGAGAACAGAATAAGAAAGTGTGTAATGTAGGAAAATACACGCAAACCATCACTGCAAAGGACTTCTTTTTTAATGTTTATTTTTGAGAGAGAGTGTGAGTGGGGGAGGGGCAGAGAGAGAGAGAGACACAGAATCTGAAGCACACTTCAGACTCTGAGCTGTCAGCACAGAGCCGGACACGGGTCTCAAGCTCACGAACCACGAGATCATGACCTGAGCTGAAGTCAGACACTCAACCGACTGAGCCACCCAGGCGCCCCTTCTGCAAAGGACTTCTCAGGTGGGGAACTAAGAGTGTCAGTGGGGGCAGACTTGAGTGTGGATAGGATTTGCAGAGACACAAGGAAAAAAGCAGGAAGTGTAAAAGGGTGCCACAGAATAGTTTGAAAAGAAGCCAAGTGTGAACAGAGGGTGTGGTAGGGACAAAAAGGACAGGTCTGCCCACGGATACCGGGCAGTAATGGAAAATAAGGAAATGGACCTAACTGTGGAAGGCCTTGAAGTTACAGTTTGACCTTTTTCCCAGGAACAATGAGAACTGTGGACTCTTCAGACAAGGTGATTGTTTAGTCAGGCATCGAGTTGGAGACAGGGAGACAAGGGCAATGGTGTTTACTCTCACAATCTGGGCCCAAACTCCTGAGGCCCCGGCAGCAGCAGTTAAGAACAGAGAGAGAAATCAACTCGTAAGCCATTTCAGATAAAACCTAGCCAACTGATTACCTGGGATAAGGTGGGCAATAATCACAGGGCATTTAGGGACTGCTCAGCACTTTGGATGCTTTAAAGGGATCTAAAGAAAGGTTTGTGTCTTCAAGAAGCTTACAACCTCATTGAATAACCTCAAGTATTATGGCCCGATGAAATGAGACTATTCTGGTCTAATTCTTGCCCAAAGTTATAGAGCTCATCACTGTTAATCAGAGAACGTTGGGAGGTAGGGAAAGTGTGGATCAGCACACAATCATGGATCCCAGCAGAAGCGCAAATGTTAAGGCCTAAGGGTGGCCAAAAGTGCCAATTCTGCAAATGTCAAGTAGGAAAAAGACTAAGAAATAGGCACTGAATTTGTCCTTGAGATCAGCTCTACAGGATCAGTGAGCATTAGGGCCAGAGGGCTGAAGCTTCATGAAGTCTGTAAACAAAAGAAAAATTTAAAAACTAGGGCAGCATTTTTTCTAAATAATGGAAAAATTAAACGTTAAGTGTCAGGACATTCTTGGTAAGGAAGACATAAAATACTACTAGGATTACTTAAGCACATTAGTAGAACCATGGTTTATACTTTGAGGAAAATACGCTACAGCAAAAAAAGGTCTAAGAGAAAAATCCGTCCTTATAAGATGAGGGACTGAATTTGCCTCAACGCTATTATCACCAAACCAGTGGGAGTGTTTTGTCCTGTTCTGAAGCCAGCTCCTTCTCTTCTGTGACTAGAGCCAGCATCTCTCTCTCTCTCTCTCTCTCTCTGTCTCTCTCTCTCACACACGCGCGCGCGCACACACACACACACACACACACACACACACACACACACACACACACACACAGGATTTCCTCTTAAGTAAAGGGGCTGACGTGGTCGGGAAACAGAAGGTTCACTGACCGTTCAGGGAGCCAAGCCCTGCGGAACAGATAAAGTGAGCAAATACAAGGTGTCAGGTAGGAGGTCTATACTCTAAGTCTGGAGTCCTCCAGAATAGGGGATGGAACGTGTTGGCTTCTGAAAGTCATCCCCTTGTCTTGATCAGTCCTTTGAGCATCAAGGAAGGAAGGCAGGAAGGCTAACTTGAAATTGGCTTCTGGCCAGCTAGTAGAGCGGGGGACTCCCAAGACGTGTAGCGACAGGAAGTCACGCTGTGTGCTCTTGCACTGCCATCAACGAGAGCTCAGATATTACCCTTTCGCGTGAAGCTGCTGATGTCTGATGAGAGTTGAACTCTGACTGAAGGCTTTCCCACAGTCATTACATTTGTACGGCTTCTCTCTCGTGTGAGTTCTCTGGTGAATGATGAGGGAGGAGCTCCGACCGAAGCCCTTCCCGCACTCTCCACACTCATGGGGCTTTTCTCCGGTGTGGATCCTCTGGTGTTCGCTAAGGGACGAGCTTCTGCTGAACACCTTCCCGCAGCCGCTGCACGCGTAGGGGCTGTCCCCGGTGTGCGTCCTCTGGTGCTCAACGAGGGAGGAGATCCAGCTGAAAGCTCTCCCGCATTCGCGACACGCGTACGGGTTCTCGCCGGTGTGTATGCGCTGATGCTGAATTACGGTTGACCGGTCACCGAAGGCTTTCCCGCACTCGTTACATTTGTAAGGTCTTTCTTGGGTGTGAGTTCGCTGATGCTGACTGAGGTTAGTGCTTCGGCTAAAGGCTTTCCCGCACGCACCGCATTCATACGGTTTCTCTCCCGTGTGGATCCTCCGGTGTAGACTAAGGTGAGTACTCCGGCTGAAAGCCTTTCCACACTCACCGCATTCATACGGCTTCTCTCCGGTGTGAGTTCTCTGATGTTCGAGAAGGTGTGTGCTTCGGCTGAAGGTTTTCCCACACTCGTGGCATTCAAAAGGCTTTTCTCCACCATGAGTTCTACTGTGGACCATAAGGTCTGACTGGTAACTGAAGGCTTTGCCACATTCATTGCATTTACAGGGTTTCTTCTGTGGGAAGAGTTTTTGGTGTTTAATTAAGTCTGAATTGTCTTCGAAGTGTTTCCTAGATATGGGGGATCTAGCTCCCTCTGGAGTTTTCTGCTGGGTATTAACTTCTGAGCTCGGGCTAAATTCACTAGATTCGGGACCTCTCTCCCTCGTGAAAATTTCCTTGAGGGTCACCGACACTTTTCTGATCGCTGTTTTCCCAAAAGAAGATGTCTTCCGTACGGGACATTTTGTCTGCCTTGACAACTGGCCCCCACTTTTACAGGCTTCTTCATTCGTACGACCTTGGGTCTTCCCTCTGAGACCTTCCATTGCTGACCCTGAAAACTCTATTCTTCGGCAATAGCCTGAATGGTGTTGATGCTTTGGCTCAGTTCAAATCTCCCTATCTGAAAGACATTTAAAGTGCAAACGTCACCTGCCTCACCTGCCTCTAGTGTGGAGACCAAGGGAAAGAAGCCATCAGGGAAAAAAAAAAAAAAGACAGCAAATTTGCAATTCACACCTAGTGTCAGCTTTCTACGGGGAGAAAATAAAAAGGGACAGTTGAAGGGAAGTGAACAGGGACAGAAGAGATAGCAGGCTGAGATCCTATAATAGGCATGGTGAGCACAGAGACATCAAGAAACAGGGGGAGGGAGGTGGGTGCTATGCTGAGCCCAAAAAATGGAAATGAGCAGGTAGACCAGCTGATGAGCGGAGAGCAGGGCTTCGAAAGGAAAATGAGCTGTTAGTTACTGCAGCCGACGAGTGGTAGTAAATGGGAAGAAGGGAAGGGGTGAGAACAGACTCAGTGTAGAAGAGACCCCCTCTGAAAAAGCAAAAAGTGCAGGATGACTCTATCAAGCGTGAATGCAATCATTTTCTTGGCCCTGAGAGACAACAGGATTTAAGTAACTACAGCACTGCCACTGCCACGGGTCCCCCAGCCCTCCCTCCAACCGGTTTAGGTGTTCTTCTGAGCAAGTCTACTACCCGAGACTATCCGAGTTCATCTCCACAGAGGTCATCTAGGCCAGCTCACATCTGACAAACAGAAAGCAGACTGGGTAGCTTCAGTCACCTGGCGAATTACAAGAGCTTAGACTAGACCTGACGTCTCCTAAGTATCACATTGGCAGTCTTTTCAATGATATCACTCACCTAGACAGGGATTTTCGGTCACTGAAGATCCAGCATCCACCGCTGTCCTCCCTCCGACCGAATGACCACGTGCAGTTCACATGCTGGGATTCCGGCTGATGGGAAATGATGTAACACAGGGCTTGTCAGAGCTCGGTCTTAATGCTTCGATGTACAGAAAAGACACTGCCAACTTTCAGAGGCTGTGGCAGGAGGGGCTGGCGAAAACGGCTGTGTGACAGGAGCTAAAACTGGGCTCCAAAAGGTTATACACATCCGCATCAGAATCCCTTCTAGAGCTTGTTGCTCGAGATATCTTGGCTTTGCCTCAGGCCTAGCAGGTATGATATGGGGCCCAGACATTTGTATTTAGTAAGTTCTTATAAGTTAACAAGTAGAACTGTCCCCAAAGAACCTTAGAAACCTACTCTAAGTGGCCTGAGAAATGTGCTGGCTGAAACCAGCCTCCCCCCCACCCGACATTCCTCACGTAGGAGGGTCTAGAACATAAGCTCGGCTTCCCACAGACTTCCTGCTGCCGGCAGGGCCGGCACTTCCCAAGGATCTCAAGGCTCCCAGGTACTAGGCGGCTAGCTTCTCAGACGCGCCCTGTTAAACAGCCGGCACCCCACAGACTGCCTGGCACCAAGCGGTCTACTTACCCCCCCCGGCCGACAGGGCTGTGCTTACACTGGCTCGTAAGGGAAGAGCGGCAAGGCCCTCTCCCGGGACGCTAACCCGTGCCGAGTGACCGGCGGAGCACCCCGGCTGCCACAACCTTCCTGCTGGGAAAATGGGAGAATGTGGGGATCTGCGCCTTTTCTTCTCCCCCATCTCTGGGCTCCCAAGTTTCCCCACTGAAGCTTCTTCTTTAAGCCATTCTCTCGTGGACTCATCTGCAGCCCCTGTGCTTGACAACAGGCTGCAAACCGTGTAACGTTCCCCCTAATGCCTCTGCTCACACATCTGCCGGGTTAGGAGATGATCTGGTTTCACAGGTATTTCCTTTCTCGTAGACCAGGAACCTCCCAGATGTGAAGGTGAATGGAGGACACCCACCAAGAAGTCACGCAGGGTGAGCCTCGAGGGCAGTGTGATGATGCCGTCTGTATCCAAGAGGGCTGCTGTCCGTATCCAGGGTGATGCCGTCTGTATCCAGCTTTGCCAAAAACCTGCCTTTCAGCTGGAAACAGGGAACACGGAAGCCCTACCACCAGGCTGAATAAGAGACTAACTTTTTTTGATCCTTGCGGCACAAATCCAGTTGCACACCTGATGCCTCCCCCCTTAACCGGACTTTGCCCCCCTTTGCGGCCCAGACCCTTTAGCTACTCTAGCATTACTTTGTTGGCGGTTCACTGCTACTTCTCTGTCTTATTACAGTAATCCTCCTCGGGAAAGTTTGGGGAATCGGTGAGCGTTTTTTTGTTTTTTTCTTTTTCACTGTCCCGTTGACTGGATGGTGCTATTGGAATTTAGTGCAGGTCAGGGATAATGGGCATTCCTGCAAAACAAAAAATGTTCCCGATCCTGTGAGACTTTCAAAAAAGTTGTTAATAGTCACCTAACGCTGCTTTACATACAGATACAAAATATGTTGCGCAGCTTTGATATATATTGGAAAATTAAGGAAATACACTTCTTTTTCTTTGGATACTAGGAAGTGTTCACCATTCCAGGAAACTCAAACCACTCACGGTATTGAATTCACAGACGTGACATTGGTTTACCGGGCTGTATTTGTAGCTGTTGTCTGCACAGTGATTCTATAGATGCTGCCACCTACTTCATCCAGCCTTTAAGTGCTGCAATAGTACTATCCTAATAAGTTACTTTCCTTTATGTCATAGGTAACGTGTTGATATTTCGGAAGTTACATCTACAGGTCATTACTATTGTTTGTAAGTTTTACTTCAGGATGATGAAGGGGACGGCAGGTCTGAAATGAGGAGAAATACTTCTCTAGCGAAATGGAACGAAAATGGTAACAGTTGCACGTGCGTGTCACAGCAGGTAAATCACAAAGCCTCTAAAGCCAAGTCCTCGTCCCCAGCAGAAGCCCTTGGACATATGAGAGCACCCGCACGGCCACAAAGGTGATGTGGAAATGGGACTTCTGTCCGTAGTGGAATGTGACCACGTTATTACATATTGTAGTCCATCCTGGAGAAGAGACACTGTTGAGAAAATGTTTAGGTTTGGGGGGATTTGTTTAAGGTTTTCCCCTCAACCAGGAAGATCTGAAATTTGAAGATCTTTATAAATTTTCTTAGAACCATGCAAACATAGGCTATCTAAAGTAAACAGAGTATCCTGAACAGAGAAAGAACTAGGACAGAATTCAAAGGAGATGGCCAGTTTGAGGTCAAGTGTCTCCCTCACACTCACTAATGCCTTGGCGGTTGGTACAAGGAGCCAGTGTTATATCAGGGCATCTAGAAATCAATTCATTTGTTCCGGTTGTACAAGTGTCGCCAAATGTAGTTGTTTTGGCATTTCAAATAAGCTCACTGCATGTGTAACTGTACCATGCATTTTACGTTTGTATATGTGGCATGTGTGACCGATACATAGAAACCCCACTGGGGAACGTTTCTACATTAAAAAAAGGAATTTGGGGGCGCCTGGGTGGCTCAGTGGGTTAAGCGTCCGACTTCGGCTCAGGTCATGATCTCACGGTCCGTGAGTTCGAGCCCCGCATCGGGCTCTGGGCTGACGGCTCAGAGCCCGGAGCCTGTTTCAGATTCTGTGTCTCCCTCTCTCTCTGCCCCTCCCCCATTCATGCTCTGTCTCTCCCTGTCTCAAAAATAAATAAACATTAAAAAAAGGAATTTGGAGCGCCTG